AATAAAAAGAATTCTAATTGACGTCTTGAAACACAATAAAACATGCAGTACTCTGTTGTTTGCTTACATGCCATTAAAGAATTCCAAAGAGATACTAAACATTAGTAACACAGTTTAACATCTAGGGACAATAAAAGTATGACAAATCCATATTACAAAGATTACTTCATTCAGACACCATAGGTTGCAACAAGAGACCTATTAAAAGGGGTTTCATGTTTGATACAGAGGTTTTATAGGTAAATTTTATTTTGATGTCGCTGAAGCTAGAGAGCTACCTATTTACGTTTTACTTTTATACCTTCTTGGACGCCATTTACTTTGATATATTGCATATATGATGCATATAGTCGTTTTCTTTTTACCTCAGTGTATGAAAGTTTTCTTTTCGGTACTTATGATTGTCTGTTTACTTGTGTTTTCGTCGTTATTTCCACATCTGCATGCTAGACACGTCGGCCGGAGACACACACAACTGACACAAGTTAGGTCAAAGGTCCCGGAAAATCCAGCCTTTACTTCCTGCGATATTTAGAGCCAGGATCAATACAACAAGAATTCTATAACAATGAATAGAACAATAAAAATATTTTAACCGAGCCCTAGAAGATTAGTCCCATTAGATAGATTCTTTATTGACACAACAAGTTATTAGAGGATGAACGGTATATCAATAAACTCAATAAAGATTAACATACTCCACGGGTTTGAGATCTCTAGTTTCTTTTAATTTGTTGTGAAGTCTTGTAGATACGACTGTCACAAGGAGTTTTTGCTCACGGTTCGCCCGTCAGGTAATTACCCTTACTTCATAATGAGCAGGTGCAGATGTCTTTCTGAATGATGAATGTAACCGAGCAACCCCGTGTTAATTACCCCGTACATGTACCGTGCACACGATGATTAGTGGCATCAACCGAAGCTTACATCTCAATCATGAGGTATATGTCACCATAGTAACTACACATATGGTTTCCTCTTTGGGAAATGCTTTAGGAGGTAAATGACCGATATTCTCGAGCTGTTGTTTATGGTTTATATGCATTCATCTACCAAACGCGAGTAGATACAGATAAAGGTCAACAGGGCTATGCTATCATGTTAGTCGGGTAGGCATGCTATACGATGATTAATGGCTAATTTGAACATTCAAATCATCCCTAAATACTTGATGGTCTTGTCGCTACATCGCTTTATATGCTGTTGAAGAATTTACCGTTTATATTGGTCCCATCAGGTCGATTTCCCTAAGATTAGACCAGATATTTTTTCTTGAAGAAGTTATGTTGGAGCAGGAGTCATGAAATTGACAGGGAAAGGAAAAAAGGGCAGACAAATAAAGAACATACGTCACGATCAAAAGACTGGCGTCTTTGAATGAAACAGCACTTTATGTTGCTCTAGTCACGCAAACAGGCTGTAACGAATGTGATATCTATCTTATTGACATAAATTGCAGTTGAAGTCATTTTTTGACAATGATGAAAGTTGTACAGATCGTTTTAGACCTTATTAAGTTCGCAGAAACCCCACGGCAGGGTTCTGTCCTCAGACGCACTTGTCTGTAGGAGGTAAGCATATTCATGGCTACACGTAGCCAGAGGCGATGGACCACGTTACAACGTACGGTGTATGTCAGATGGAGTCGTCAAGTTATTCGTCATGGCTGCACGTCAGTCAGAACAATACATCCACACACAAGTAAACAGACTTGGTTCTGAACACCAGCACACACTGGAATACAGACAGTCATAATGCTGACCAGTATTTGGTGCTAAGCACCATCAATTCATACACACAGTCAAACAGACCAGTCTTTGGTGCTAAACATCATACACACACACACACACACACACACACACACACACACACACACACACACACACACACACACACACACACACACACACACACACACACACACACACACACACACACACACACGACACGACGACGACGACGACGACG